TCTTGATTACTTTTTGATAAATAATTCGTTCTTATTGCGAAATAGGAGCACTATTTATCAATCTGTAATAAAAGACGTGAGGAAATTCTATCTTTATTAAAGACAAAAATTTTTGAGGCAAAATACCTAAAAATGGGTTTGTAAAAAAATTTGAATTTGATCATGCTAAATCATGATAAATCAGTGGCGCACCTTTTTTTCATCAGATCATGAAATGTCCTGTCGGTATGTACGTCAGTGATGAACCAAAAACATTTTTCTTTACATAGAAATATGGTCACTCAATGGTTTTCTAAATGAGTAAATTTCATAAAAACATCTCTAGCTGTGTTCGATATATTACTAAATGTGTAAAGTTTGTTAGTATTTTTGTAACCATGCCCTTAAAAACCCTCGTGCATTAAACCGTTTAGTCTTAGAACGATGCCTAAACTAAATCCTGAAGCGCCCTGTATATTAGTACTCTAGTGGTTAAAACACGTGTTTTATTAAATGTAAAACTGGACCCAAAGATTCAGATCACTTTTAAGTCATCAAAGCATTTCAAAGGTTTTCAGGAAAATTAGGAATTGCCAGTTACTGACGCAAATTGTAGAAATGCATGCAATTTTCTTTTTATTTTAATAATTAAAAATCGGTTGACACGTTGGCACCTTAACACTGCTAATTACCTGCTTCAATAACGCGGTTAAACCTACTTTAGTGTAAAAAACCTTTTTCCATCCAGCTGATTGGTTTGCCAGGGGATCGATTAAGTAATTTGCCATACAACTTGCTAAAAAAGAACACTGAAAAAAGCGACAAAAAATCAATTAATTATTCAACTCAACATTTGCGTGTTCTCTAGTTTTTCTTGGTGAGTTAATTACCTTTTTTTAGGGGAACTGAAACCATAAAATATGCGGCCTTAATGTGGATTTTAGTGAGCGGGCCATTATTAATAACTAATCGTATGTATTTAGAATAAAATGTTTGCTTGCCGCTTCAAGCTTTTCTTCACTAGGCGCATTTGATATATCCATCTCTTCGGGTAGAACCATTTAATTTGATTACGTCAGTTGACCTAGAAGCCCATCTGATCCCACCAAATGTGAAGGTAATTTCTGACCCACATCCGGAAAAAAAACTTCGGTGTGTTCGATTTTTGTTTGCCTCCGGCTTAGCATTTTTAATATTTGGTAAAAGTATTTGATGATAATTATCATGCCTGTTTAAACCTGATTCTTGCAGGCAGCCAAAGTGGAGCCTTAGATCTTTCGGTCCGATTGTTTGTAAAGGATTTTTTTGAGTACGTAAATGACCCAATTACTTGCGAAAAGCCACGACATTTTCCTCCTACAATGAGTGGAGTGAATAAGTTCATAACTCGCTTGTTTGAACTTTGATGGGAAATTATGAAGTTGGCTAAAGTAAGTTTCGAAAATATTGAAGAGCTTCACGCCTCTATTTGAGTAGAGCTGTTCCAGAACATCAACAATGGTCAATCTTAATGTTCAAAGCGAGTTTAAGCTGTGAGTGAACTGCTGAAAACTGAAAACTCTTCCATCCATCCAACGAAGCCATTGGTTGCTTCAAGAAGAACGCGATCTTCCAATCAATCGTTGCCTCCATCTGGTACTTCAATTAACACAGTGACCTACAATGGGCATTTTCAACGTATACCTGAAGAAAGTACCGCCAACTATGTGTGTCAGTTTCGTTGTGGAAATCAACAATATTGTAGATTCATTTTTAAACTAGATGTTAGATGGGAAAAATTGAGGTCAGTTCTGCTACAGGAACTCACTGGCTGCGATTGATGGATGAAAACAATTGTGGGAGTTGAGTTTGCAAGGTTTTAGACGGTTTGCAAGAGCTCATCAATGAGTTAAAGCGATCAAAGACTACCATTTTTACTCTGTTTGAGTTCCGGGCCAATTGTTCTTCTGCACAGTCTAATTGATTGATTGGATTTTTTAGCCTTATTTGCGGCTTGATCCTCAGGATAGTTTGTAGGCTCTTGTGTAGGCTCGTTCCTTTATTTTCCAGGCGCTAGTAATTTATAGAATGTTTGATGGGAAAGTGTCTAGGTTTTCCTAGAGAAGACTATTTTTTCCAGCATTTCCACTTTCGACTACCTACACCAAACTATTATGTGCAGTTTTTTGATAGTCTCGCCGTAAAACATTTTTTCATAATCATTTTTTTTAAATAACCACTCGAAATTTAAACCAGATGCAAAAAACTCTATTTTACACGGACACGGTCATTCGAATCGATGATTTGGTCAATGTTTGCCCTTTGATTGAGCAGAACTTTGTGTCAGCTTGGAGGCTTTCAGGCAAAATTTCTCCTAAAAATTGCCAATCAAAATTGAACATAGACACGGAGCTGCGCGCTTTACGGTGTAATGGGAAAAACTCACTGTATTTGAAGGAGAAACTTTTATTCAAATCGCTGGTTTACTCAATTTTTGCCATTTGATTAAAACCAACTTTGTCTTTGCTTCGGGCGCTTCAGACACACAATTTACAAAAAATCGCGGTTCAAAAATCAAACTAGATACGGACCTGCCCTTACCTTCCTTATAAATGGAAAACCTCACCTCTTTAACAAAGAAACTCTAACTCGAAGAGGGTATTTGGTCAATTTTTTCCATTTGATTGAACAAGCTGTGTTTTTGCTTCGAGACCTTCTGCCGAAAAATGTTTAAAAAATCGCTTTTCGTAATTTAATATGGCAACCCATCTGCTTTTGCCTTCATTATGAGGAGGGATCGGACTCTATTTAATACAGAAACTCTCATTAAAACGAGAGTTTTTCTCGATTTCCGCGATTTGATTGAAAACAACGTTGTCGTCCCTACGACAGTTTCTGACAAAATATATTTAAAAAATCGCAACTCAAAATTGAAACTAGATACAGACCGATTCTTTCCTTTTTTACAAAGGCAAAATTTCACTCTATTTCACAGAGAAACCCTAACTCGAATCGGGATTTTGGTCAATTTTGTCTATTTCATTAAAAAAGCTGTGTTTTTGCTTCGAGACCTTCTGCCCAAAAATGTTTAAAAACTTGCTTTTCATAATTTAATATTGCAACCCATTTGCTTTTGCCTTCATTAAAAAGAGGGATCGGACTCTATTTAATACAGAAACTCTCATTAAAACGAGAGTTTTTCTCAGTTTCTGCGATTTGATTGAAAACAACGATGTCTTCCTTACGACAGTTTCTGACAAAATATATTTAAAAAATCGCAACTCAAAATTGAAACTAGATACAGCCGGTTCTTTCCTTTTTTACAAAGGCAAAACTTCACTCTATTTCACAGAGAAACTCTAAATCGCATTGCAGTTTTGGTCAATTTTTTCCATTTAATTGAAAAAGCTGTGTTTTTGCTTCGAGACCTTCTGCCCAAAAATGTTTAAAAAATCGCTTTTCATAATTTAATATGGCAACCCATCTGTTTTTGCCTTCCTTAAAAATAGGGATCGGACTCTATTTAATACAGAAACTCTCATTAAAACGAGAGTTTTTCTCAATTTCTACAATTTGATGGAATACAACGTTGTCTTCCCAACACAAGTTTCTGATATATTTTTTTTTAAATCGCAGCTCAAAATTGAAACCAGATACTGACCTGCTCTTTTCTTTCTTATAAAGACAAAACCTCACTCTATTTCACAGAGAAACTCTAACTCGAATCGGAGTTTTGGTCAATTTTTTCTATTTGATTGAAAAAGCTGTGTTTTCACTTCAAAACCTTCTGTCTAAAAATGTTTAAAAAATCGCCTTTCATTCGACTCTATTTAATACCGAAACTCATTAAAACGCGAATTTTCCTGAATTTTTACAATTTGATTGAAAACAACGTTGAATTTCCCACACGAGTTTCTGACAAAATATTTTTTTTTAAATCACAACCCAAAATTGAGACCAGATTCGGACGCGTTCTTTATAAAGCGAATACCTCTATTTCACAAAGAAACTCTAACTGGAATCGATCGTTTGATCAATTTTTTTCAATAAAAAAAACTAAAAAACTGTGATTTAGATTCGAGACCTTCTGACCGAAAGTGCCATTTGCAACTGAAATTTTCATAAAAATGTCATCAAGGTTCTTGTGGAGTTCCAAAGGTGTTTTAAGCAGGTAAAACCGCCGATTTGATAAAAATCTAGACCAAATGCGTCCTTGGTTGGTTGGTTTTTCTTCTTATAAATAGCGTTAATTCGCTGTCGTCTTTACCCGTACCACATATGTTTGCAAATTAATTTTTTGCCCAGATTAACATAGATCAAAACATTGCGGTTGAAAAATTGCCCCTAAAACCGCTTTTTTGCGCGCTAATAGAACATGTGCTGAATTGATTAGAGACGGTCGCAGACATTTTAGCTATTAAAATAAAGAATTGAAAGTTACGAGAAGACTCGTTTTCTTCGGTTTTTGGGCAAACTGGAATTCAAAAAATCCTTAAGTAGGTAACGGTATTTATTACTGTAAACACTGCTTAATGAGCTCCGGATATTTACCCAGCAGATATTTGCTAAAAAACATTGACCATTAATTTGTCGCCTATTACATAATGCTTGGCTACAAATAGGAGAAACATCAAGAGTTCATTATCTAGAATCCATGTCACCCATAAAGCTGAAAGTGTTCGAAAAAAGCTGCCACAGCTAATCAGGCATGGACAGTCACTAATGCGATATAATTATGTTTTATATCGGTTTTTATAATTGTTATTACACCACGCAAATTCGTGTGTAACTTGCAATGAAGGGAAAAATTGAAGAACCCTGTGTGGCACGAAAGTAACTAGAAAGCACACAAATAGGCAAAAAGCGTTCAGTGAAGGTTAAAAAAAAGAGTTTTCCGGGCTTTTCAGTAATTATAAACTTAAACTAAATACAAAAACAGCACAAAATTTACACAACACAATTAACAACCAACAAACTTTCTTGGCAAAAAAAAACTCTTATTAGTGGGTTTTAATATTTGCGTGTCGATTTTTATTGCTTGCTAGTGTTTCGGCTTTTTCTATAGGCGGCTGCTTGGCCCGAATATACGTTTGAAAGTAAAAATTGCCGAACAAAACAATCATCAATACGTTTTGAGGTAACACGATCACAGTGTATAGTTTCGAAAACTTGCATGTTGGCCTCAATAGAACATTCGTGAAGCTCCAGGCGAAAAAAACGAACTGCACCTAAAAAACGTTTTTCAAAGGCCATTTGTTGTTTTGTTGACTAAAAAATGTAGCATTAAATAAATGCCTGCTTACCAACTGAATTGTGGTGATAGACTTTTTCAACCAAAGAAGCTTCCCATACTTACTATCGTAAGCTGTGAGTAGATAGTAAGAGTACAAGATCGCATGTACCAAAGTGTTGGCTAATCCTAGAATATGGGATTTGGCGAGTTTTTCGGGTTTTTGAGGTAAGTAAACTCACCTATAAAATAGATATGCCCGCCTCCAAAATACTTGACAGTATACCAAGTTCCGAGTGCCATGGCAAAGTGATGGTAAGTATGCAGGAAACTTAAGTGGCCATCTTTTTTACGCAAAACAAAGAACACCTTGAAAATACAGCGCTTTTTAAACAAAATGGGGGAAGATGACTAATGAAGAAGTTCTTCTTTATGGAAATATGGTTTGAGGCGTTTGCATACTGGACCATTTGACTATCAAGTATAACGAACCTCTCAATTTTTTTTATGAAAAGAGATTATGTACTTACCGTATCCAACAAGTCCAGAATTTTTAAAATGAAATAATAGTAAGCATACGTGAGGTGGCTTATTCCCCAATAGCTTTCTGAATAGTCCACTGGAGTACATGTCCAATTGACCACATGAATGGACATAAGCAGCTAAAAAGTTAATAAATTTATGCCTTAAATGTTTATGATGATGCGAAAGACGTAAGTAAAAAAGCAAGAATAACAAAAAGTTTATTAAGTCGTGGTGCAAACCTTCCTTAATGGATTTCGGACTGCACATCATTCAATTCAATGTTAATGTATGAATTTTAAATCAGTTAGTGCTCCGAACGTTACTGACTTAATGAAGCAAGAATATTTGGAACAATGCAAAATATGAGTTGTATTATATGAACCGAACAAATTCAAAAAACCCTCATTTACAAACGCGAAATGCTAAAATTTTTCCATTATGGTTTCGGTTTAAGCACTCTTGAAATTTTAGTCAAATGACGATTAAACATCAAAAACTTGAATACTAAAATAAAGATGCGGGAAAATAACTCACTTAATAATCTTTAAAAACCATTTTTTTGTGAAGAATTACCTAGATAAAATATTGACTTGAGCAAAATTGAGTTTTAATTAGCTAGCAAATACTTACACCGTAAAATATCCAACTGTTGACCATAACTTGGCAGATATTATAAGCAATCATGATTTTTTTCAGCTCGAAAGGTTTCCTGTTCTTCATGTATTCCGGGCCCCATTTGAACACGAATCGATGCCAAAGAAACAAAATTACGGAAATTGGTACGGGGGACACCAAGAATGGATAAATATTATGCGTTCTAGGGTCTAAAAATCCGTTGTCCATTGCTTGTAGTCCAAATTATCCAAAACTTACCCGCAAGTTCATGCATATAATACATATAGCCTTCATACAATGTTTTTATTACTTTGGCCATTTTGGGCCACTTAAACTGTCCACTTAAACACCTGAAGGGAGAATCGAGCTAGACACCGGAGGCAACAAATCCTAATATTACATGAGAATGGAAAAATTGCACTTTTCTATCGGATTTTGTGGCTTAACAGTATTTATACACCATTGTTACTTTTGATGAATAATTCAAAATGCATCAAGTTTTAATATTAATCTAATGAACTTTAGATTAACAGCAATGTTTACTTATGAATTTTCATAGCAAAGGGAGATTTCCATGAATGGGAATCGCGTCTGAATTCGACTATAACTATATTTTCCAGCGCATTATTTTCTTCAAAACCAATTTTCCATAAAAACATCGGCGTCAAAAAAAAAAAAAAATAAGAAATATGAATAACAGCTAGAAATATAAGTAGCCCTTGAATCAGCTCGTTTTTAAATTTAAAAAACTTTTTAACGGTTTTAGTTTTTCCCAATTTCCTATGCACTGCTTTGCCTGACGCGGCGACATCTATGAAGCAAAACCTCCATCTGACCCCCAACGTTTGTATATCGGGTTGCCGACACACAATCCCGTCTAACCAAACTTCCAGGTTTTTTGAACTTGAGAGGAACTGAAACGTCAAAATAATGAGAACAACAAGTGGAATTAAAACAATTTGGAACAATTAATTAGTGAAACAGTTGATTAATTCGAGTATTCCAAGAAAATGTTAAACGGTAAGACTCAGCTGATACTGGCTGTGATTCACATAAGGGCTGCCTGAAGAATGTGAGTACAAATGTTGCAGATTCCTGGCCCCTAACAGGAAATCGGCAATTATTGAGCGTTTAACAATGTATAAGCCGCCCCAGAACTGCAACCGAGTCAAGTCGATCAAGAGCAAGTTTGAGAGTATCGAAAATCAGCAAGATAAGGCGGGTTTCGTCAGAAGCCCCACACAGGCCTGTAAATATGTGGAGAACAATGATCGGGGCAGAAGTGCGCTTTCCAGACAGCTATCCGACCCGTCTAGGCCGAACATTAAGCGGACGCCAGCCTTCCGAGTGGATAGAAACTGCGAGAATATCTCCAATAGGAAAACCTTATTTGAGAACAAAGTGAAACAGTTCAACAGTGTTAAGGATGAGAAGGTGGAAAAAGATCTAAGTAGCAGTGAAAAGTGCTGTTTAAGTGGTAAAGAGAACGTGTCCTTTCTGCACTCCAATGCGGCCTCAAAGCCTGTGCTAATAAAATCGAAAAGTTCGCATGAATTCAACTACACTCCGCGCCGATTGATTGAGTCTCCAAAGCCCAACTCACTAGCTGCCTCAACTGAAGAACCTCCGGAAATGCTGTTGCAAAACGTCGATCTCTCATTGCTCTATACAGAGCCCATTCCCAAATCGATGCGAAATAAAAACCCTCCAGGTAAGCGCCGATTTCTGAACGTGACTTGAAAGCCTAAAGCTGTCTTTGTGTAGAACCCGAACAGTTGCAGCCAAAACTCGAATCCATTTACAACAAAAGCACCCTCCAGCTCACCGATGTAGACAAAAAGCTATTCCTCGAATCACTCAAGAAGGTCCTAAAGCAAGACGTGCCCCAGGGCCTGACTGACTCGCTGAAAGTCGCCCTTAAAAAGCCCCTGCCTCAAGGGCCGGCCCCCATAAAGCCTCCGCGGACTTTCCAGCACTCTTCATCAAAACTCCCCGACGAGCGGAAGAAACCCGGAAAAAAGGCCGATCCTAAATACATGCTAAACAAGTTGGAAATTGCGCTGAAAAACAACAAACTCCGAACTCGGAAGCAGGAAAAGGCTGAAGTGTCCACCACATCGGGCGAGGACAGTGACGATAGTCTGTTATTTCAGAGCAAATCATGCCCTAAAGGGCCGGACTTTGGGTTCAGTGAATTGAACTGTTTTAATAGCTTTCGTTGCGCTGATCCAGCCTACGAGAGGATCAAGGAGCAGCAGTCTTCGTTTTATGTGGAACGGGAGCAAAACCCTATTTATGCCGAGCCGATTCAGAGGGGATTGTGTAGTGAACATCGAGCTGTTGCGCCTAATAACCGAAATAGCCTTTATTATATGGTAAGAGATTCATGTTTATTTCGGCTCGTTGAGAAAAACACCAATTTTCGCTAGTGGTTCACTGTCATTGATCTATTTTAAAAGTGTTGAAACGCGGTCTATTTTCTAATGTTATTTTGCGCTGTCCTCAAACAGGTTGCAAACAATATTTTCAATTTATCCGGCTTCCAAGTGAGTTTTTGACTGATTTCAACTGAAACCTAATATTGTGTTTACCATAAAATGCGCTGGTTTGCAGATCTTCGCACGCTCTCTAAAGGAAAACTAACCGATAGACAGTTGAAATAATTATGGGTGTGAGTAGATCAAGACCGACATTAGCATGGCACTGAGCAATAAATAGCGCCCAGTCCAAGTAAAAGCTTGCAGCAAACGAGAAAAAAATACGGTGAATAATAAGCAAATAAATATTATATTAACGGTTGAGCAACTGGATCGTTGGACCCATTTTAGGGCTTGTAAAAGTCCTAATTGTGCTGTTTTCAGTGCTTCTCGCCATTTTCGCTGTAAATGTATTGTTGGATGTTCCGTTATTTAACAGCGCTTTGTGCTAATGGATTCAATCTGCATTGGCTTCCGTTAGTTTGCTTTCGATTCCAGCAGGATTTGCTCAAATAGCTTAGATTATTGTTTCAGCTGAATTATTTAAAGTCTTATTGGATTTTGTTATTTATTATTCGGTGCCTAAAGGCAATTATACACACTTCCAATGTTATATCAATATCCGCATTTCAATGCCAATTAATGGTCTAGCAGAACAATTTAAATGTTACGCGAATCAACTAGCCTTGCATAAGATTGTGCCAATTTTCTTTTCATTGGAAACTACAACGTTTAAACTGCCTTAACTTTGCAAGAGTAAGAATCTTTTGGATTTTTGAGAATTTTTCCATTGATCAACTGCATCAAGACAGCGTTTACTATTTATGTGGCTAACATCACTAATGTTTTTGTGCTGAGTCTTCTGGTACTTCCACAAAAGCTTATCTGGAAAGTACCAGCTGAATAAATTCCCAGCCATATTGATAAAACTGCAATTGAAAGCGAATTTATTTATATAAGAACCGCAGTGGCACCTAAATTTGTTTCTGAAAGTAATATTTATCCCATACGATTGTTGCGTAAGTGTCGCAGTGTTTTAGTGCCGAAATTCAGTCTATTTATTTGATGATGAAATTGTGATTTGTGGCCACATCCTGCTTTTGATTCCATCATTTATCCCGCACTTTTTTGTGTTTTTGGTGTTCTTGACTGTATTATTTAATCCTTTGTTTGGAATAATGTTCTCACCCAGTTCGTTGGCCTTATCGCACGTTTTATTGCAGAGTACTGCCCTAATATCCGAAGATACTGGCGAGCAGAGACCAGTGAATGGGCTTAATTTACCAAATATTCCGGTGAGTTTTCACGACAAAAATCCCTTTACGTTGTCGATATATAACTTGTTAATGGGGTAGTTTTCCGCAAAAAATCATTTATTCTTGTTTGAGCTTTAAATGGTTAAAAAATACTTAAATTTCGGAGGTTTCCGTGCTTTTTATACAGTTTTTTTGTAAATGGTCTCGAGACATCTGAACATTTGGCAATCTCTTATCTGAATAAGCAAAACGTGGGATTGAAGATAAGATAAATCCAGACTGCCAATTTTCTTGTTGCATGTGTTTGTTCTGCAGATTTTTTTGATTATTCGGTAGCTGCAATTTATGTGTGTTCAAAGACTGAAATTTTTACATCAAAACGTGTTTTTTATGGCAGTTAATTATTTTTTCTATTTCAGGACATTGGCACTAAAATGTCGAGTTCAAAAAGCGATCAGTGCAATCCGCTCTTAAATCAACAGGTAAATTTTTCAGCATTAATTGGGTGGAACTTGAGGGTTTCGGCTCCCGTTCTGGTTCTCTGTTTTGGGTTATTTGGCGATTTCCATTCGAGACTAATTTCGGATTGCCATTCACAGGCGAACAACCCACGCCTTTGTTTATAATAAATTGGTTTAATTAGTTTTCGTGAGACCATGAAGAAATCTAGACGCGCCCGCGGAATTCTACTGCAAAATTTACTTCGGCTTTGAAAAATGCATTTCAAAGTGGGCACGTATTTTGGCTAAATATTCACAAATTCAATGAGCGTTTTTTGAAAAACCTTGTAATGGAGTTTTTCTCCGTTCAACCGTGTACACTTTCATCTACGGTCAACATTCTCTAGGTGTTTGTCTTCGTTATTTCGTGAAAATCTCAGAATTCAGCACATGACTAATATTAGAATAATTCTTCCACACTTTTACAAGCAGGAAAATCGAAAGATTCGTTTCTACTGTGCAGTAGTTTGTTGGAATTTAACTAATAATATGGTAGGTAGCTTTGTTAGGCAACAGCTTGAAAGTAGATTAGTATAAAGTTTAGGCAAATAAGACACAATATTTTTACTGTAAATGAATGCTGTGCTCATTTTTCATGCATTCTTCAGGGATTGTGTCAGTAAAACCATCAGGTGAGTGGATGCATAAAAAACACTTTGCGCTCTGGTTTAGGCAGCAGATTGTCTGGGTGTTATTTGAGCCTAATCTTTCCTCGTTTTTTCAGCTATCGGCCGACAATTCCTCCTTATCCTCCTTCACGTCTGATTTGGACTCAACTCCCAGTCCCGTAACGGATGATCCTCACATGAAAATCCGTTACCTCATCAACAACTTTGAGCGCAGAAGAGAAACGTTGCCCAAAAGCCAAAAACAAGCCGCGGAAAAGTGCAACAGTCATGAAGATTTGCGCCCTAATAATCCTAACAGGGTCGATGTGTTGAGGTCCACCCTAAAAGAGACTCTGGGTGCGTTCGCAGGGCTCAATTTTTGTTGTCCCAGACTTTTATTCTGATGAATTTCAGATAAAAGCTTTGCCTCTGATTGTCTGCCGTCCGGTTCAAGGGATTCGGATTCGGACGAAGGAAAAGTGGCTCGGATGGTCGCTCGCTTCCATACATTCCAGAAAACCGCTCCCAAGTATCAGCAGCCTCAAGTGAGCAAAGACACGCTATTCTACTGCTGTCTGGTGATTGAGAAAGTTCGCGATTGTGCCCAGATTAAGTTCAAATTTCCTCCAAATGTGAGTATGAGAATGTTTTTTCGATCTTTTCATTGTTAATTGCGCCATTAGGTGGACATTCCGCGCGATATTGAGCATCTGTGTTTTCCGGAGAGTTCGGACAGTCCTCCATTGGAGGGAACGAGTGCCGCTCAAACCTACAGCTTATTAATCACAAGCGAAACGGGCGATAGAACTTATGGGTACTGCAGAAGGGTCCTGCCAGAAGGGTCGAATTACTGTCTTCCTCTGGCTTACTGTATTCTAAGCAAATATCGGTAAGGGCCGCTTTTTCCTCGAAGTTTCTCTGGATTATTCGCGAATTCTTTACAGGGCTCCGAAGTTTTACAAGAAGATTCTGCTGGAACTAGAGGGCCGGCATGGCATGCAGGACCGATTTCGGGAGACGCTCATCAGCCAGTTTTATCACAAAAAGTTCCCCAAGCCCGGTGAAAGTATTGCGATTAACTTGAGCAATATCGGGGAGGAAAATCTCCGAACCCCTAATGGGATCGAGGAAAGTTTGGATCTGACTAGTTATATTCAAGGTGAGTTTGCAATTACTGCGGGTTTCTCTCTAGTTTTTTAAAATCTTATGCGTTGTTTCAGTTAATAAAACTGGAGAATATGCATTATCTAATAGCAAAAGCACGTCAATTTTTGTGTCCGAATCGGACATGGAACAGAATGCGACTCCCACGTTTCTCACATGTGAAGGTAATTGCATTGTGGTCTCTTTCAGGTGATTTAAAAATCGCTCCAAAAATGGCTTTTCCAGGCAACAAATCCGAATTGATGCTGACTTTGCATCCGGACACCCGTTATGAGGATGCGGATTTAAAAAGACTGCACAAGCTGCCCTCTGATATACTGCTGAAAATTTTCTCGTCTCTTCTGTTGGAGCGGAAAGTGATTCTCATTAGTTCCGTAATCAGGTATGTGACATTTCTGGGAATTACAGAAACTTTAAAGCGAAAATAATGCAAATTGCGCGTCTTGGTTGATTTTTAGTGAACTGTCTTCGTGCGTTGACGCCCTCCAAAGCATTCTGTACCCATTTACGTGGTATCATACGTTTATTCCCATTCTGCCCAAGTCCCTCTGGGACATTGTGGAAAGTCCTACTCCAGTTGTATGCGGCGTGTTGTCACAGGAAGCTATAGAAGATCGTCATATTGAAAACGTAATATTTCAAAAACGTGTTTAAACTGCTTGGATTTTAAAGAAAGCGTCCTTTTTACAGGGAATTGTGGTGAATTTGGACACTAAAAGTGTTCTGGTTGAGGAAAGGGATGAAAGCAAGATATTGGGGGGCAGCTTGCAGAAAGTGTGGCGCCAATTCATCACTTTGGCTAATAACACGAAATCAAGAGAATACGTGTATTCGGTTTATTTGGCTGATGCCTATTTGTACGTTTTTATATGTTGCTTCAAGAACTACAAGCAGTATATAAAAAATGGGCAGTTTTTGGTGAGTGTTTACTACCCTGAGGCTGAAACGGTAGCCTTTTAACGCCTCAAAAAATGATAAATTAAAATCTCTGGTAGAAAGAAGAATTGATAAAGAATGGCAAAACGAAAGGAATCCGCCGATTCCTGAAGATGTTTACCGAAACGTGCATGTTCCATGCCTTTATGGACACGGCCCTGAACAATCCGGACAGTTTGGCAGCTTTCGATAAGAAAATCGAGCTGTACGGCTCGGACGAAAGTCGGATTATCCTGGATAAATTAATCGACTGGCATAGGTAGTTTGGAGACTGATCTATTTTTTAGGTCCTATTGATAATATTTCGCATTTTATTAGGCATTTATATCTGCGAGTGCTGGTTGTTGATAGGTAGAATTTATTCATGTGATGGTTATGAAATGTTTTTTAACTGTTCCATAACTACTGTGTAGTTTCTTATTTTTTTATGTCTATTTAGGTACCAGCTTGTTTTCAGGCAGTTGATTCTCATTCAATTATCCCAGTGCTGATGGAGATTTTTCAATGTCGAAATATTAATTTTAAGTGTTTGTGATTGAATCTAAAAGTTGACCTGTTTTTTCAATGGGGAAAATGACAAAATTCAGTTTCATATAAAAACTTGCTTTTGCTGATGAATTAAAACTCCACAAAGTTTTACCAATGAAAAGTTATACTCAGTTTTGTTGTCCCTGACCAGTTGCAAGTCGTTACATGGTTTTGTGAAAAACGTATATGAAGTACAAATCTGCAATAAAAATTTTTTAGAGGACAGGCCGATTTTATTTACTTTTTATGTAGGCCCCAACAGCCTATACTTTATACCTAAGACTAGCTTAATCCGACCAGAATATGCTCTATTTGTGTAAGTGGTAATTTATAAAATGTTGTATATACTCATTGGAACAATTGATGTAAGCTATTTTTTATACAAATACATGTTTTATATTTCATGGGGTTTTTTCCTCTGTTTACTTCGTCCTGTGATGTGTGCTGTTTTTGTGTGGAACACAAAGTGAACTTATTAAGTTGTTACTGTCGGCAGGTGATGGTGAAATTAACCGGAAATAAATATTTAAATTGTGAAAAATTGCTTCCGGATTTACCATATAAAACCTATAAAATTAAAACATTTTTAAAGTCTGTTTACTGGGCACTGGTTCGCCTAAGATTAATCATGTTGCGAATGTTTTCATTTGGTTTCTGCCTCGTTCAGCTTGCGATACTTTTGGTAAGTTTTCCTGTATTAAATGGCGCAATATTTCCGAAAATTCTCGCCGCTTCCACTTTTCAGGCGATTAATCAGCCGGTTTTAGCAAAATATCCGGGTAAGTCGCTGTTTGTTGATTTATTAAGAAACTGTTTTGATTCGAAAATTTTAGATCCACTGTATAATGCGACCGTTCAAGTGGCTAATGCTGTTGCCAATGCGTTCTCAAACGCCTTAAGTGGTAAAAAAATATATTTTTGTTGAGTATTTTTGATGCAGCACTGCGTTTTTCAGGTGGAACTCAACGGCCTCCAAATTCTGCGGGCTAAAGATTTTTTTGTGTTTTATTCAACTGGTTAAACTAGTTTTTTTTGCTTTAGCGACGTTCTTTTGTATGTAAATTATATTTATTTGTGATGGATACTATTTGTTTTATTTTGCCAGGCAATTTAAATACCTAACTCTCTTAACTAGTGGGCGTCAGTTAAGGCAAAAAAATGAAAAAATTGAATCATTTGCTTTTTTCTTGATTATTTAGGAATTGTGGTCGAATTTCCTATTCGTTGCGTTTCCATTCGCTTCTTTCTTCTTGCTTCCCGATTTTTTAAGTAGGTTTTGATGATTATTTGTAAGATTCACGATGCTTTTGTTTGAGATTGGGAATCAACAACGCTCGTGTTCATTGAACTTTAAATGCTTGTAGTTAATTAAAGGATTTTGGCATCGTATAAATATACTGTTCTCAGTACAATTTATGTGTTGTTGAAGTGTCGACCAAATTTACACTAGTCATGTCTCCAAGCCTCGCTTTAGTATAGTTTCCCACTCGGAACAGCTTCTAGCAGTGTAAAAGGTGCATAAAATTCGCAATATAAAGAGCGCTAAACTCTCACATTTTGTGTTTTTTTGGAACTAATTTCCGTAGAATCAAAGCCTGCATTTTTTCTCGTCAAAAAAAGCCAACAGAACCGTTCCTCTGCCTACTTGAAAGTTTAATTGTTCTGCAGAACCATTGAATAATTAAATAAGCGTAGTACATTTGCACACATTTACAGCACCCATACTCTCGAGAATAACAACGAAACAAACATTATTAAGCTGATACCGATTTCTCGTATTTACATGCATCGAGACTGTGAAAAGCGGTTTTGAATACAACATTTAAGTACCGCTTTTGCCTTGTAAAACCGTGTCGTGATGTCTTGCAGCAATGGTAAGTACTCAGCATCTTCACACAGATTTGTGCACTTTAAAGCAGCTTTAAAGTAATTTTTGCCTGAGGATTTTTACTTCATGACCTTACTGAGGCATTCGACAATGTTCCACACGGCATAAAACATCTGAAATTATTTAGCCTGAAAATACTGCAGGACTTTTTCAACAAAAAGCAGATTTCTTGCAAGAATGAAATTGCGGAAATTTTCTTGCATTTTGTGGTATATCATATTTTTTTCTTTCCTGGGTTTCAGTCAAAATGTAAAATAAAAATGTTCATATCGTTTATTTCATATTGCGTTTCGGCGAGACAACGGCGCCATCATCAGATTTAAAATTCAACACAAACCCATAATTGGGAAACATTAGATTATTTTTCTCTCTCTCTCAAAAGAGAAAAAGAATCTAATGTTTCCCAATTATGGGTTTGTGTTGAATTTTAAATCTGATGATGGCGCTGTTGTCTCGCCGAAACGTAATATGAAATAAACGATATGAACATTTTGGTTGAAGCCCAGAARARAAAAATATAATAACAATTACACACAGTCAGGAGAATAAATSAACATGTTGTGGTATGTTTCYTGTAAGGGCCTGGCTATGCGTCCCCTTTGGAGGCCATGGAAAAGGGACCAATCGAAAAGCTGCTCTACGTCTGCTGTGTCCAGCCGGACCAATCGAATGGCAAAAGCGACCTTTTGGCTACAGTGGACGTCGATCCAGATTCCCCCACTTATTGCCAAGTATCTATTTATCTAGCTAAAACCAATCTTTTAGGAACCTTAGGAAATTTTCAGATCATCCACAGGTTGAGAACAGGAAGACCTGATGATGAACTGCATCACAGTGGGTGGAACGTTTGCTCCAGCTGCCATGGGGCTAAAGCGTGTGCTAAAAGGGACAAGCTGGTTTTGCCTGCCTTATTGTCCAACCGCGTTTTCATCGTAGATACTGGAAAAAATCCGAAAACGCCATTCATGTTCAAGGTGCGGGCTGCAGAGCTGCTAACACCATTTGCGGTGTTAATAATGCTCTGATCCTCCCAGGTGATTGAAGCTTCCGAAGTGAACAAAGTCAACTGTACGGCTCTGCATACTGCTCATTGTTTGGCCGACGGGAATATTATGATATCAGCAATGGGAGACCTGGAAGGAAACCCGAAAAGCGAATTCGTGCTGGTCGATTCTAAAACTTTTACGGTTCAAGGTAAAAACACTGGAACTCCCATAAATCCCCCATTTCCAGGCTGTTAGCAACAGCCGTTCAGGTTAAAAATATATCTGAACCAAATGCAAGATAAGGCGTGGAAGATAATTTTATCACCGCTGTTTGTTTAAGGAACAATCATTTGTTGACGAAGAATTTTAAATACCGCTGCACTCACGCCCGAAAATTCCTCATCGCACATCTTTTCCCTCAGGTACATGGGTTAAGGGCAAAGCAGCCCGATTCAACTACGACTTTTGGTATCAGCCCTACCACGATGTGATGATCAGTACTGAATGGGGCGCGCCCCGGATCTGGAAACGGGGCTTTCACCCTGATGATGGCAACTCCCCGGACGCTTATGGCAGAAACCTCAACTTCTACTCATGGAGCAAAAGGGAGCTGATCCAGACGATTGGTGAGAGCAACACTATCTGCGTTCAGCCCCCCAATGGTGTTTTCCTTGGCAGATTTGGGGGAGGACGGAGTCGCTCCATTGGAGGTGCGGTTCCTCCATGACCCGACGGAGAGCCAAGGATTTGTTGGGACTGCAGTCGGTTCTTCGGTCTTCAGGTGAAACTTTGCTTGCGTGTTGGTATCGGCGATTTTTCAGTTGAAGTAAAAACAATTTAACATACAAAGGAAGCGCAGCTGTGAAAAGTTGCACAATGAGCAATTGGAAAACCCTGCGGACTTTAGACCTTTATTGTTGACGTGCAAATTGAGGTCGCCCCCAACTGACCCCAACGTTTGAACAATCGATGTTTCCACATAGATTAACTTTGAAATGTTTCCCCATTAACTCGTTTCTTTACCGCAGATTCTACAAGCGAGATGATGGCAAATGGGCGGCTGAAAGGGTCATCAAAGTGCAGCCAAAGAAAGTGTCCGGATGGTTTGCAGGCCCGAGAATTGGCGGTAAGACGGTGTGGAATTTTCCTCACGGGTTTCCACTGTTTGAAAACCTCCAGGTTTGATCAGCGATATCCTCATCTCATTGGACGATCGCTTTCTCTATTTCTCCAACTGGCTCCATGGGGATGTGCGCCAGTATGATATAACTGATCGCGCAAACCCGAAACTTACCGGTAAGATTTCAAAGTTTTTCCAAAAGTGTGTTTTTCCAAACCGGTTTTTAGGCCAAGTTTTCCTTGGCGGTGCTGTTGTCAAAGGCTCAGCAGTAACAGTACTGGAAGATCCAGAACTGGACGCCCAACCAGAGCCGGTGTTTATTAAAGGGAAGCGCTTCTTTGGCGGGCCGCAAATGCTTCAGCTCTCCTTGGATGGGAAAAGGTTCAGATTTGCATGAGCTTTGGGATTTTTCTGAAGAATTTATTTACGCTAGATTGTATGTGAGCACTAGCCTCTTTTCCCCATGGGACCGCCAGTTCTATCCAGAAACCATCAAAGAAGGTGGACGAATTATCAAGCTGGACATCAACACTGCAGACGGAGGAATGTCTTTGGACCGGAGTTTTTTGATCGATTTTTCCGAAGGAATTGATGGGCCGATTCTCCCGCATGAAATGAGGTAAATTTTGATGGCAGCCTTCCAATTTTACCTTGTGAGTTTCTGATTAAACAGATTGTCTGGTTTAGGTACCCTGGAGGAGATTGCACGTCTGATATCTGGCTGGCACAGCAATAAATTAAATTTTTGCTATGTAATTATATTCCAATACATTTAATTTTTTATTCCGGAACCTGTTCCCTTATCCGCTAAGCTAAATATCACACAATAGTTTTTGCGTTTAGCAAAAAACTAAAGCTTCTCCGCCTTCCAATAGATGGTTTCGTTCGCTTTCAGCAGGAAAAGCTTCTTATCCAGCGTAATCGGCAGTTTGGTTTTGGGGCTCACAGTCAGTCGAAAGTTGGACAAAATCCGTTCGCTTTAAAAAATAACTCCGGTGTGACTCTCCTAAATAAAAATTAATTTTCCAATCCAAGCCAATTGAAACTGGTGTGTTTTTCGGGGTTTTAGGCCGTTATTAGTCTGTAAAAAAATAATGCGCCGGTGGATTTAAATGAATTTTTCCGGATTTATAGCTTGAGGGTTCCTCTATGTGCGGGCAAAATTGCAAAACCTCCCGCTTTTGGGTTGACACAAGTAATTTTTTTCGGGGTTCCGCAGTTTTGCGTCCCGCGCTTAATTGGAGCGCATGTTTGAAAGTCTGTAAAAAATTAATCAGTATTTGCATTTCAATAGATTTTTCTAAATTTATGGCCCGAGGCTTCCTGTAAAGGATAGCGAAATTCGAAAATCCTGTCGGTTTTGGGATTGACACGGGTAATTTTTTTGTGGGGGTCCTGCATTTTGACGCTCCTTGTTTAGTTGAAGCGCAGGTTTAAATGTCTGTGGAAAATGAACCAGTTCTTGGAYTTCAATGAGTTTTATCTCRATTTATAGCTAAAAAGTGTCCCTATCTGCCAGAAAAATKTTCTAAAGTTTTGTCWGATTTGGAGTTCAAMCGAGTAACTTTTCSATGGTCTTGCAGTTTTGGCTTCCGCGTTYAGTTGAAGCGCCAAGMTCTGGGAAAAATAAAACTGTCCTGGATTTGAAKGAGTTTTTCTGGTTTGTAAGCTGAAGGATTTCCCTATGCGTTGGTAAAACTGTAAAATCCTGGCCCGAGCTGAAATTGATATGATTCATTTTATCTGTGCTTATGCAGTTTGTCATTTTGCCCWTAGTTGAAGCGCAAGTTTCAAAGTCCATGAAAATTGACCCACTTCCTGGATKTCATTGATTTTTCCTGAGTTTATAGCTAGSCAGTTCCTCTATGCGGTATMAAAACTTCAGRAACTTAACAGACTTTGAGTTCAAGCGAGTAATTTTTTTCCATGYTCCGGCWGTTTTGAGCTTCGCGCTTAGTTGAAGCGTCAGTCTCAAAGTCTGTAAAAAATTAACCAGAGCCGGAATTTTAATAAWATTTTTTTATTTTTTTGAATTAATAGCTCSAATCTTCMCCCATGCCCTGGTGAARTTCAAAAAATCTGCCGGATTTTAGGTTTAAACGAGTATTTTTTCTGGGGTTCTGCAGTTTGTGGTTTTGTGCTTAGTTGAAGCTCCCGTTCCAAAGTCTGTGAAAAATGCACCAATACCTCGATTTTAATGATTTTTTGCGTGTTTATACTCCGAGAACTTCTCTATGCCCTGGTGAAGTCATAAAGTTCTAGGCAGTTTGGAATTGACTCGAAAAAAATTTTTGCGAGGTTCTGCAGTTTGGCGTTTTGCGCTTAATTGAAGCGCAAGTTTCAAAGTCTGTGAAATATTATTTAGRGCTCGRAGTTTCMTRATTTTTTTCTGAATTTATAGCCCGGTCGTTTCTCTATGCGCTGGCTAAGTTTGAAAAACTTGYCARATTTTTGCTTSAAACGGGTAATTTTTYCATGGGCCTGTAGTTTGGCGATTTACGCTTAGTTAAAGCGCAAGTTTCAGAGTCTGCGAAAAAATRAACAAGAYGTTGAATATGAATAAATTTTTACGCGTTTATAGCTGAAAACTTGCTCTATMCGCTGGTRAATTTCCAAGAATCTTCCATTTTTGATTGATTTGCGGYTTAAACGAGTAWTTTTTTTYCGTGGTTCTGCAGTTTGTCGTTTTGCKCTTAATTGAAGCGCAAGTTTCAAAGTCTCTGAAATATTATTTAGGGCTCACATTTTCATGATTTCGTTATGAATTTATATTCCGATCGTTTCTCTATGCGCTGGCTAAGTTTGAAAAACTTGCCAGATTTTTGCATCAAGCGGGTAATTTTTTCCATGATCCTGCAGTTTAGCGTTTTACGCTTAGTTTTAGAGTCTGCGAAAAAATGAACAAGACCTTGGATATGAATAAATTTTCACGCGTTTATAGCTGAAAACTTGCCCGATACGCTGGTGAATTTGCAAGAACCTGCCAGATTTCCGATTTAAACGAGTAATTTTTTTCGAGCGCAAATTGCAAAGTCCGTAAAAAATAAACCAGTATCCGGATTGGAATGAATTTTTCGCGAATCATAGCTGGAAGGTCTCTTCGCGCCTCTCAGGTCCATTGCATTGCTTTCGGGCTTGCAATGGTTTGAAATCCAGAAAAACTCACCAGTTTCCAGCCCAACTTTCTTCAAAAGCAATTCGTTTCTGTACAAAAATCTTACTTCTCGGCTGTCTATATTTTCTCCAGTTTCTGCACATTCTTTCAAGTGGTCAACGAGATGATCGCAGCATCGCATAACGCTTTCAAACATCATTCTCATTTTACCAGACGTAAATGTAGGCGTGAGCTTTTGCCGCAGCGGCTTCCAATGGGCGTTTCTTACATTGAACAAATGGCTTCCTTCCGGATCAAATTTTTCGTTCACAAAAATGTCTCTGTTGGCGAAATGATGAAAATCCTGGAAGAAACGCGTACGAAATTTGAAACTCGTTTTTAGTCGGTTTCTACCTGTGTGAGCACATCGCGTATGTAATCGGGATCGACCAAAACGAGAGCTTTTCTGGAAAACGACCAAACACCTCCAAATTTGTGTCCTCCGGCTTTAAGCTGGTCGTACCAAGATTTGGCCTCGCCCGCAAAAGTAGCGGATTTTGTGAAGAAATATTCATCATTCCCTAAAAATCGAGGCGGTTTGGAAAATGATCTCTAATAAAACAGCAGCAGGCAGATGGAGATACTCACCGAGCGGAAATGTGGGTTCCAAGTACGGAACTCGTTTAACTTTCCAATACCGATAGGAATGCTTAAAGTATATCAAGACTGCTAAAAAAGCTGCCCCGACAATCAGACACAAGTCGAAAATTATAAAACCAGTGGAAACAACCGCCATTGCACTGAAACACACTGGAGAGTAACTGGCACTGGTGCGCATAAGATCATCACGTGAAGATAGTTAGTGGCTATCAGAAGATGCATTTAGGGTCATAAACACACAAAGCATTAGTGCAATAGCTTGTAAAACGCTTATGGCTGGCATTAATTACACAACATTAAATAGCAAACAGGGCAAAATAATGCTTGCATTCAAGTAAAAGTGCAAATGAACAACAGCTGAAACTAGCAAAAGGATGTAGATAAGTTCTATATT